AATGACTAAAAGACAAAAATAAACTCAGTTCATTGTGTCAAAGGGACAATTATATTATTAGTGGTGTTTGCCAAGACAAGCATACTATTGCTCATAACTATTAAACTTAAGGTATTTAGCATATTAAAGGGATAGTTCACCCAAAAATGAAAATTCTGTCATTAATTACTCATGTCTTTTGTTCATCTTCAAAACACAAATTAAGATATTTTTTTCTTTCCCAAGTCAAAATTCTCGTTTGACTTGGGCCAGTAAACAATCACCTAGCAACCATCCAGAACACCCTAGCAACCACCTAGAATACCTTTTCGACCATTTAGCAAAATTCTGAATTTTGCACAGGCAAGCAGCACTCACATTTTCTTCAGAAAATGTAAAAAAAAAAAAAAAGTACTGTAAATTCAAATTTTATGCCCTATTCTGTTCTCTAAATAATGCCTATTTATTCATATTAATGAGATCCACACAGAAAGCACACACCCCGTCATGGACTGAAAGACTCCACCCATTTTATTTTTGTCAGAATGTCATAAAAAACGGACCGAACACATAATGGAGGCCATCAGTTGTGATTACTGGGTGTGGCGTGCAGGTAACACGAGCACGGGGAGTACACCGGTGCTATTGCTATTTCTAAATTATTGTATGCTGTCATCCAATAAGCAAAAAATGCCACATTTAACCTGGCATGGAATATTAAACCATACAAAGGTGAAAGGCGTAAATCAAAGAACATAAACTTGAGGTCTGCCAATAATTGTTTAAGCTCACATATGTTTTTTTTCCACAAAAATTAGTTATATACATATATTAAAATATTACATTATATATTTTTGTTTTGGAATGTCTCCTTTTGGAATCTTTATGTTTCAGGGTGTAATGTAAGTAAATACAAGACTATGGTAATATACACATTATATTATAGGTCAGGCTTAAAATGCAACAACACATTTTTCACAATTTGTAACAAGGATCTCTGCTCTGTATATTTTCACCAATGGGTCCTTGGCCTAAAAAAAAAAGATGACACCCGCCTGAAGAAGAAAACTGCAGCAGCAAAGACTTTCCACCAGATGTCAGCAAACATGCAAAATAAATTTGCAGAAAAAGCCAGTGACCTCATTTAACCCCACACACACACTGCTCCTGAAATGCAAAATGGCTCTTCCACAGGCCGAGTCACGTTCACTTTCTTTATGTTTATGTTATAATACTAAGTATGTGATTATGATAATAACCATTAACCATTTCATTCTGATGAGTCATATCACTCAGCGTCTGCAGCACTTGGTGTCTGAAACTTTATTTGGGAGGTGAAAAAAGAGGAAGTCTGTACAGTAGTTATCATGAAAACAAGTGATTTACCAGAATGTAAGACCAAAGTCTTTCTCTTCAACCAAAGCAAAGTGTGTTTCTCTCCTGTATTTGGTTCAGTGAGTGTGATTTTAACACAAGTTAAACTTGATAATTGTGGATACTTAAATATAAATGTTTAGGCTGCATTAAAGTAAGTAAAGTTGCTGAAAATGCACTCACCCTCAGGCCATCCAAGATGTAGATGGGTTTGTTTCTTCATAAGAACAGATTTGGAGAAATGTAGCATTGCATCACTTGCTCCCCAATGGATCCTCTGCAGTGAATGGGTGCCGTCAGAATGAGAGTCCAAACAGCTGATAAAAACATCACAATAATCCACAAGTAATCCACACCACTCCAGTCCATCAGTTAATGTCTTGTGAGGTTAAAAGCTGTGTGTTTGTAAAAAAACAAATCCATCATTCAAATCTTCCTCTCTGTCAAAGTTCTTAAATCTTATTCACATTAAATTCAAATATGGCACATAAAGATTGCACTACACCAGGTTTGTAGCCAATGAAGTGACATCAAACGACAACGTGTCTTGATTAAACCCCCAAAAAATACCCAAAGTACCCAACAGAACCTTTGTGTGTGTGTGTGTGTGTGTGTGTGTATTGAAAATCTGAAATAGCAGTTTCCTGTGAGGGGTAGGTTTAGGGGTAGGGTTGGTGTAGGGCAATAGAAAATACGGTCTGTACAGTAGAAAACCCATTACGCCTATGGAGAGTCCCCACAAGGATAGCTGACCAGACGTGTGTGTGTGTGTGTGTGTGTGTGTGTGTGTGTGTGTTAAAGTGAAATGACAGTACAGCATGACTGAGATAACTGCAAATGCATTTGAAGTAAAAAACAAAAAAACGAAATAATAATTAATGATAATGGTAATAAATGAACTGATTTGAGTGCTAATGAAATTTAAGAACTGTGACAGATGGGAAGATCTTCAGCGAATAATGACTTAAATTATGTTCTGTTTCTCACATAAAGCTGTCGTATGACTTCAGAAGACTTGGCACAGTGTAGCACAAATGTCATATGAAATGCTTATGAAATATTACTTTGTTGTATTCCACGTTAAAAAAAAAAGAAAGTTCTCAAAGATACTTAGACACTGCCTTGTGGACACTAACAGCAATATTGAACTTGCATGGCTCTATTGATCATGAATCTACAGGTCGATATGACAGCACTATATCTGACCTATGGATTTTCTGAAATCTATCTTTGTTTTAGTGCACTTGTCCTTTTGTGGTTCCTGTTTACATTCCTGACTTATTTTTTTCATTTCCTAGATGTCG